AATTCCATTTCTTCGTCGATATGACTGGATTGTACCGTTTCACTCGCTTCTGTCGAAATTCATCATCGCGAAAAGATTTCTGAATATACGAGGGGCGTACCGAAAGTAATGCCTGTAGGGCTGTAATATGCATAACAATAGCGGTGTGCTTATGTGCTTTGTAAGATATGTAAATTGCACCTTCTTATGTATTTTGTACCATATTTTCCACTGATCAGTGCTTGTGATCCATGGTTATGATGCTAAAACAAAGAGCTGTCATCGAGTCCCTGACGAAGGAGGGTTGCAGCGCTTCCGACATTCATGCGAGGCTAGCCAAGTTGTACGGTGAGCAGACAATTGACGTCAGCAATGTGCGAAGGTGGGTGAAGAAGTTTACCGAAGGAGAAACAACCATCGAGGACAAACCACGAAGTGGGAGGCCATCAACTGCGGCTAGTGATGAAAACCGACAACGGATGGATGACTTGATTCGCGCGGACAGGCGCATAACCGTCCGGGAGATCGCTGATCATTTGCATTGCGGTCAAAATGCCGTAGAAACAACCATCAGAGACTTAGGCTATCGGAAGGTGTGTGCTAAATGTGTTCCTCGTCAGCTGAAATTTGATTTGAAAACCAAGAGGGTGGACGTGTGCACTGAGGTGCTGGCGATGTTTGAAGACCAAGAAGGCATATTTTTTTCGAATGTTGTGACAGAAGTTGAGACGTGGGCATATCTGTATGATCAATAGACTAAGAATCAGTCGATGCAGTGGTGGCACAGCACCTCACCCTGGTCTAAGAAGTTCAAAACTCAACGATCAGCACAGAAGGATGTGGTCACAGTCTTCTGGGATTACAAGGGTGACACCCTTGTCATCCTCATCCTCATGGATCCTCATCCTCATGTCATCCTCATGTCATCCTCATGGATTTCCTGCAGCCTGGTGCGACAGTGAACAGCGCTCGCTATATTGTGACACTCAAGAAGCTTCGCGAAGCTATCAGAAAGAAGAGGCTGCAAAAATATCTCAAATCCATACAGCTACACCATGACAAACCCCGCCCTCACACGTCTTTTGCCACAAATCAGGCAATTGCGAAGATTGGCTGGTCTGTGGTTCCACATCCCCCTTACAGCCCGGATTTGGCACCGTCGGACTTTTACCTATTCAGCCCGATGAAGAACAGTGGCCGGGGACAAAGATTTGATGACGTAGAGGACATCAAAGTCGCTTTGAAAACATGAATCAGACACTGCTCGCCACTGGGCCTGAGAATGTGATTTCACCCTCAACGCAGCATGAAAAACTTCTTGCAGACATTTCTTTCAAGCGTCTGCCTTGTCTGAAGCAGGAATAGAAGAGGAACGACGGGAATCGGTGAAATTTTGCATTTTAATGCTCGAGGCAGAGTAACAAAAAAGTAGCCAAGCCTGTTCATAGGTGTCTCAAAATATACCCAGACCTGGTTGTGTCATCGGGATTCCCATTGTTAGAAAGTTGGTAAAATAGTTCAAGAAAAAATGTTGGAAAGTTCACAGCTACAAAAATTACAAACTCGAAAATTCGAACAGGACAAATGATGAATATTTGGAAAGAGCTTCCGAAGAGCTGTTATTTGATACTAGTTTCAAGTTTCTATCATATTTGAAAAATGAAATATAAGCCTCCAAATCGAGTGAGTAACGGAAAAAATTTAGGTATTCAATTTCAATTAGTTTTTGTTTTAAACAAAGTAAATACTTAAAAATTTGCTACTTTCATTTTCAAAGACTAGAATTGGTGCGTTGCAAACGCTTATTGTCCTACCATGTTTCCCATTGCTCGAAATTTCACTTTAAATTTTGGAGTTCGTTTTTTCAAATATGAGAAAATTCGTAACTTTTTGCGGTCATTTGATTCCAACCGTGTTGGTAATGTGTCAGCTCAGTCACGGTTGAAAATTGCCCCTTGACCCATGGGGGCCACTTCTTCCCCGGAGTGCTAACTCTGAGGCAGGATATCTCGAAAGCCGTTTGTGATGAACGTTGAAATTATACTTCTTTTTTTATAAGGTACCCATGCATAAAATCTTTCAAGAAAATCCCAGTCGGATCGCAACGAAAGCTCCCGAAATCTGACCACTCGAGTAGGAGCACCTCTCTGGTCTTTCTTCTTCTCCTCCTTCCTCCCCCTCCCCCCCCTCCCCTCCCCTCCCCCCTCCCTCCTTCACAACCAATCGACCATACCTGGAGATCTTCGGAGGAAACAACCTGACCAAAAGAATGGCATGAGCTCGTAGAGTGGGATACCTCTCCTTTTCGTTGTTAGTGGTGGTTGATAATTCCAATTGTGGCTGATAATTTCAATTTTCGCCACGAAATGATTTCCGTAGCGAAAATTGGGATTATCAGCCGATTTTCCAGGCTCTTCTCGTAAGCTCCAGTCCCCCGATCCGAGACGGTCGCCTGATGGCATGTTTCGTCGGATCCATAACTTCTGCTCGTCATTCATTATACTTTTTCGCACCTGGGTCATGTCGCACCTGGGTCGCATGTCAAATCAACACAGCCATTTACCTTGCCCCCTCCGTTTTCCATGAATTTTGCTGAACTTGGAGGGGCTTTTGAAAAACCGTCCCATGCCAAATTGCAGTTCTCTACCTCAAGTACTTCCAAAGATGTAGCAATTTGAAGGTAGCAAAAAGTGACCAATATTGTGTCAAGTCGTCATCTCCTAAGCGCGTATAATTTTTATTCTAATCAACATAGAAATTGATGTTGGTACAACTTTAAAGGTCTTCTCACGGCCTTACAAATGATATGCCACTCAAGGAACTTAACTGAAAATAAAGGTCAAAGGTCAAAGGATCTGAACTTTGACCTTTAATTACAGAAGTAAAGTCATTTTACTTTCCTTCGAAAACATACCATACTATTGCCAATTCTTTCTGCATTAATGCTCAAAATGTCAACTAGGACTGCCATGGAATCAGGAGATACGAACAATAATGTGGCAGAAAGCGACCAAGGTTCTAAAGAGAATGCACTAGAAATATCTGGATGCATCCAGTTTCAGGAAAATTTAGTCCGAATGGAGTTGTCTGAACTATCAGGAGTATTCTAGAAAGTTATTAAAGTGTTTGAAGCGTCCAGAAAAAAGGCGGAACTTTCTGGATAGTTTTAGAGGTATTCCAAAGTTGAAAATTTCGTCAAAAATGTCTTGAAATTGCACTCTCCTTAGGTTATTTACAGGCTCTCTCAGCATTGTTTCACCATTTTACGTCTCAGTTACTGAGTTATCATGCATCACCTTGTGATTTTATGTGTTATTCAATATTTGTCATTGTCCCTCATTGGGAAAGGAGAGATGGATGAACTGCAGTGGAGGATTTCCTGTTGCAACCCATTCGACAAAGCGAAATATTCTTCCAAGATGAATCTGAGGCCAGTCTTGAAGCCAAGACATGCGATGATTGCTGGAAGAAAATTTCCCGAATATCGATGTTATCAGGAACTGAGACGAGTACATAATCTTCCATGTCAAGTCAATAATAGTCTAGTCCTATGAGACATACTAGCGTGGTTGATAGGGTCTCCTGTGAGCAAAATAGGACGCCAGAATTCATCAATAAAAGTTTGCCTTCGATTGGAGAGTCTCCTATTATCATAAACTCACACAAGCAAATATCCAGAGAAGTTGAAGAAGATTGGGGGTGTTCTGAAGGGGGAGTTACTCAATGTGGAATCAGATGACAGAGGTGATGATCAAAGGCTAACAAAAAATGAAATCATTACCCAATTGAAAGAAAAATTCCGAGCGACCACAGAGAGAAGTGAGAAGGTACAAGTCCTGATAGTACTTCGACGAAATTGGAGAATCCAGAAAAACCATCACGAGTTCGGTGCATCCCGCCTTCCCGAAGGACTAATTCGGTTCTCTTCCACGAAAAATCTCCTACTTCTCTGATGGATCTGCTTCGCACTACAAAAATCGGAAGATTTGGTTTCCCAAGTGAGAGGAGGCCCTTCTCAGCCACCAACCACGGAAAAGGACTGTTTCATGGAGTCGGAGGGACAGGAAAGAGGTTGGCTTCAAGTGGCAGTCGCCAACGACCATAATAATATACTAGTATAATGACGCTTCACCAACTGTTCCAATTGCCAACTGGGAATATCCCAATCCCAATTTTTTAAGTATTGCACCTTGGAATATTAAAGGTTAGAGGCTCAGTTCCAAAGAAAAATATTTGGGCAATAGCAGCTTCGATACAATGAAGCCGTCACTGAATTCGCGATGGAGTTGAATCCAAGTCGTAGGTGAGGGTATGTGAAGTACCGCGTACCAACGTACTAGTCCTCAGTTCCTCGGTACTCAAGTTTGGGAATTTTGTAAAGTCCCCATCCTGCCTCACCGTTCACTCCCGGAAACCGACAGTGAACACGAGACCAAGAATCAACTTGATCTGCTGCTGGTTTGGTTCGGACGTGGAGCTCATCGAATGTTATGATGATGATGGTGATGTTGGCCTGAGACCAGAAACAAAGAAATAATCCTCCGATTGCAGTCGTTCATTGATGAGTTTGCAGAAAGTGAGTGCAGTGCAAAATTACATCACAATCAAAAGACAAACGATACACGTCCATATGCGTACGAGTTGTTCCCATCGTCTTTCGTCTGCAAAACGAGCCAGTCTGCAGTAAAATATCGCGGAGCCACGACGGTTACACTTTCGTCTCTTGCAGTGCCATAAATTACAGCTAAACCGTTGTGTAAAGAGTGCAATACATAAAAAGTAAGTTGCCCTACAGCTCCCAGAATGTCCCGAGAGAAAACACAGGAAGATAACGAGACATCGATTTGGGAAGGGACAAGCCTCCGGCATCTGTCACGCAACCCCATAAAAAAATAACGTCTCCCCCTCGTTTGATCGCATGGACGCGCAAGTGCGTCTCGTCTTTCCAGTTGTTAATTCAGAAGGGAATCCACGAAAGTCTATCCAGGTCAATATCGCTCCGTAGTGAATTCCGGCCGCCGATGGGGGAGGGCCCTTCCCCCGATCCCGTTCGTCTGACCATGGAAATCGCCATGACGGATACCGACCACACCCCGAAGTTCGTGCCTGGGACTCGCCTTTCCGGCATCATCAGGCTCTTGGTCAGGTAAGAATTTCGTCGAACGGGAGTCCTCGCCGCTATTTTGCAGCGAAGAGATTTTTCAAACGCGAAATCTCGTGCAGATGGAAGGGGAGCATCTTCAAGCTGATCGGGTTGGATGTCGTCATCTGGCTCCTTTTCTTTTACACCTTCAGTTGCATTTACCGATTTCTTCTGGATGACGACCAGAGAACGTGAGTGACGCCGTTCTTCTTGCTTTTCTTCAAAACTTTTTTTCCTCGAAACAAGACTCAAATGCGAATATGGATTTCCTTCGTTTTATTCACTGGCTTCGACCTTCGATCACGTATTAGTCTCGGAACGCGAATGTTCGCAGCCTGTTCGAGAAGGCGGTGCTTTATTGCCGCGATTTCAACAGCAACATCCCGCTGACGTTTGTTCTCGGTTTCTACGTTACCACGGTCATTAACCGATGGTGGGGTCTGTGGAACACCCTCCCCTGGCCGGATGACGTCATCCACTATCTCACCACTTACCTCAATGGACAGGTACCAAACATTTTCGCCATTGGACCATGGACTACCGCTAATGCACTCTCATCCCAACTTATTTTGAAGCAGTCAGTTCCCATGGTGCTTAGATATTTTTTTGAAGGTTCAGGTAAATAACACGCGTTTTAACATAAAAATGCCTAAGAGTGCGAAAATGTCTTATTTCTCACTTTATGTCGCATGAATTCCCTTCTATGATATTTCATGTGAAACTGCCTGAAGTAAAATGTTACGCTGTCAGCCGAGCCCTGACAGTAAGGGACAATTGAGAAAATGAATTCAAAACCCTATAGAAGCAGTACGGCGTAGGAATTTCACGGGTCAAAATTCCCTTTGAAAAAAAAAACAAGACCTCGGAGCGTCATTGAAGCAAACAAATTTAATTTGGAGCTTTCTATAGACGGCGCTGATAAGTTAAGTTTCCAAAACACTTTCACGTTTCTTTGCAAGTCCGAACTCGAAGTCGTTACTTTGAATTTGCGTTCGGTCTTATGCATTTTCCATGTACAGGGTAATCAAATAGTCGCTGTTCGGTGGATTTTTAAAATTATTTTATTGCATTTATGTTGTACCATCCTGCGTATCACACTTGTTACGTCACCAAAGATATAAATTACCACTCGTTGCATCATGAACCATTTGGATCATCCCAAAACGTACCACATTTTTGCCTGTTCTTACTGCATGCAATAAAACGTAAAATTTCACGTCGTGAGTTCCATTGCACGGAGACTTTTGGATCATTCGGTACAAACCTTTATCGAATGAAAAGTTTAAGCTTGCTATATTTTTCTAACATGTGCTCAATATTTCCATGGATTTTCTTCCTTTTTAGCCGATATACACAGCGATGACGTCATTCCCAGCGATCGGGGACCGAAAATCTTTTCTTTTGGTCGACTCTGTAGATGTAAATTTAGGACCCTTCGGTGACGGTAATCCCAGACCAAAAGAAAGTCGTGTAAGGAGAAATTGAGCATTTTTATATCCAGTGACCCAGTATGATGAAAATACCGGTATACCGGTATTTTCATCATGCCGCCGCCTCGGCGCCATACCAAGACCCATTTATGAAACTAAATTACAAATTACTTAGCGAATTATATATATTTACTGCGTGATGCCCACCGTCCGAGGAAAACCAAAGTCCTCTTGGAAGTCACAGGAGCGTATTTAATCCGGACTCCTGGACCAAGATCTGTCACTCAATACCTTTGTCATGTCTTATGAGGATGTGCAACGATATTGCAGTCAACCCGTCCTCCCCCCACTCTTCCTCCCCTCCCCCTCCGCCTCCCCCTCCTCCTCCCACTTCCCCTTCCCCTTCCCCTTCCCCTTCCCCTTCCCCTTCCCCACCCTTCTTCTCGCCAGAATGACCAAAAAACCGCGGTATAGAGCTACTGTATACCCATCGGAAATGTATCGCATACCGCAACGCCCTAATCTCCAACCAAGCTGAATATTTTCTCTCGTAAGAAATTACACCTTGGCTTCCACCTGGAACGAGACATTATTTTCTCTTAACCCTGGCTCTTACAATAGCGTGTGCACGATATTCTGTCCAGCGGCATAGCCGTGAGGTCTACCGAGTCAATAAGCTGCAGATAGCGTTTCTCTGCGAGATTCGTATGCACTGAAAAGACACTAGCAATATGCAATGAAAATATGCGAAATGCACTAGGGGAAAGATATTTCGCTCCTCATTCGGAATAATTTGTAGGTATTGAATGATATTTCCGTACTCTTCTTACGATGAGATGGCAGCAGGGACTAAGAAAAATGTTTCAGTACTTACGGATTAGTTTGAAGAACTAGGAAGTACTTCGCCGCCATTGCACTGCAATTTGCAGCCGGCACGAAAGTCGATTGGAAAGCGCTGTAACTTCTCCGAGAGGGACTTCTAGGGCTAATATTTATGTAATGAATCCGACTCTCATTAAGCAGAATTACAGGCCACGACTGGAAGCTAGTAGCAAAGGATCATTCATTTTTTATCGTGTTTGTATGGACGTCTATGCGTGATGGCGCAGTCTTGCTAGATCGATGGTCTAGATCAGCGTTATTCTGTCATAGAATAACGCTGAACTGGACTATTAGAGCCTCAAGCCCAAAAAAAGGGAGGCGAGTCATTGACTGGCTTATTTTGCTTCCGCTGAAACAATATTCTGTTTCCTCTAAGGGATAAACAAAACCATATGGAAGGGTTGGCAGAAAACCAGGTGTTTTGGAATCTCCCCTTGTGGAGGTGATACGAGCAAGCGATACGATAGGAATTATCAACACGATTCCAATAAGCCATGAATATTCTGTATCCTACTGGGGGGATTCAAAATCCCCTCTGATTCCACAAGACCCTACAACATATTCGTCGATGATTATAGGCCCTATTATTGACCTCAAGACGATTCTGTGCAGAGGCTTGAGGAGCGTACTCCACGTCTAAAAGCCTAGCTTTGCAGTCAAGAAGACCAGGTTAGAAGAGTAGACAAAGTTAAGCCACATCCCAGCGGGGAATGGGGCTTGAGAGGAATTGACGTCACCGGTATGCACTCAGGTATATAGGTAGATCATGTAATGACACCAATTGCACAGGTCGTTGAGTATGCTTGGGCACGATGTTCCTTCCCACTCCCGAGTCAGCCTTCCCTCGCGTGGGTGCTTCTCCTTGGTTCTTCATCTGAATTTTCAATTTCCCACAAGAATGATGGGCTGTTCCGACCCGAATTGCTCAAATAATACCAAAAAGGGGTTCACATTGTATCAATTTTCCAGTGACATCGGTCGACGGTGGCTGTGTATTGTAAATAGCCTCTAGGCTCCCCCCTCCCGAAGCGATGGCCTCTTTAGAATCCGAAGGCATGCTTACACTTTCATGGTATATAGGTTAATATGGTTACAGCAGATTTTCGAAATTTAATTCAAATTCGTTTTGTGGAAGCACCGATATCAACAACTATTCGAAAAGAAGTAGGTCATTGAAAATGAATGAAAATTAATCATCGGTATGAACGATGGGCAAATTTTCTGCATTCATACTTGTGGATTCACTGATCATTGATTGCAACTCATGAAAGAATGACTCATCAAAGAAATAATCAAAGTTTGCATTAAGATCCGATTCGTACAAAACCAGTGACTTCTTGGGGATAGTTTGGATTTCAGACCAAAATCAATCCGAATATACTGGAGCCGTTGTAATAAGAAAGTACAGCCAACCTCAGTTCCTTTCCCATTTCAGACTCCGAATTCGCAGTTATCAGCTCCGATTCTTGATATGATCCACGAATATTTCCTGATGTACTTGTGCTAATTCTGTCAATTTCGCAGGATGAGCGATCAAAATTGATGAGAAGGACAATCCTGCGATACGTGAACCTGGGGACTATCTGCTGCATGAGGTACTTTAGCAGTCGAGTCAAGAAACGATTCCCATCCATGAGAAGCCTCGTCGAAGCAGGTAAGAACATTTTCAAAGAATGGAAATACGTCTTTGGCCAATATTCTTTACTTTTCTGATGCTCCATCAGTTTATTCAAGAAGAGGGCTCAATAGAATTCTGCAATGATACCTAGTCTTCGTAGACTAACAAATCTGTATAAAGACTTAAGGGTTCGCCTAGTCATTTTGGGAATGAAATGATCTGATCTGCCTGTACTTCGTATTCACATTGTCAAAGACAACACTTCTCAATTTCCTGTCTTCAGGAGGGGGTCGTAATTCATCGTTTACTCCACCAGAGGGTCATGCTCACGAAGGTCGTGCTCAATACTTTGAGAATGATTTATTTCGCACTTTTCACTTCACAAGCCTTCAATATTGTCGCCCTCCATTTCACCATCACGTTGCAAGATTTCTGGGAGATGTTGTATGTCACTGATAAGGTTTTTTTTTCCTGTTTGCGAAAACAGTAAAATAGTATCCAGATGAACCTGATGTATTGATTGCCGCAGTATGGATTCATTCATCTAAGGGTATATGTCATGGTCACAAGGACTAATAATTGACAATCACTCCTCCATAACATTTCCTAGCATCATAACCACGCGCTGTCTAAACCTTCACCCTTCTGGTACTGAATTAAATCGTTGCTAAATTAACTCCTCTCCCTCCCAGACGGAGTTTTAGGCCTGGAGGTCAGTTTCTCCTGAACATAACTGTTTCGTTCGTAGTACTGAAAGGGGTAATAAAGGCTCTTTGTTCTTCGCGTGATAATTACATTAATTTCTCTTACCCACTCACCTGAAAAAAGGAAAGAAAATATTTTCACACAAAACCCGCAGAAATCTGGAAAGTGCTCGTGACATGCAATATGACTATAACTGGCGGCCTGTGAAGTGAAAATTCTGAGAAACAAATGTTTTATATACTGTATTACATAGTTATTGCAATGGCTTTTTTTTACGGCCCTCGCACACGCATTCATAAAATGACTCATGAAGGGAAAAACACTTGGATATTTGCAACTTCCTGTCAACAATAACATCCTACGTCAACTTTATTACTTGTTGCCCAAAGGACTGATGGAAGAAAGCGAACGTCGAATGATGGAAGTGATGGGAGGGGATTCATCAGATTCACTGCGGTCCATGTTCTGGATCCCGCACACGTGGGCGACGAGAATCGCCCATCAAGCCAGGGAGGAGAATCGGATCCAGAGCGACTTGGGTCTTCGAGGGATAGTCGATGCCGTGACTGCTGTTCGTCGGACGTGCGCCATGTGTCAACATGTGGAATTCATTGAAGTCCCGGTCGTCTACTCCCAGGTCTACTACCAATTAATTATTCTGCTCGATGACAGTTCTCAAGATATTGCGCACATTTTATACCGAGTCACGATTTAATCCTAAAGTAGGGAACCATTGCCGTTGTTAGAGTGTTGTCTCTTCACAAAGATAGCAAATCATCTACCACCATCATCTGCGAGTAATCATGAAATAATTTAAAATCACAATTCGTGATTATAAGTCAAATGACCAATTTTCATTTGAAATTTGAATCTGTATCCTTTATTTTTAATTCAAGCAGCATCTCTTGTGAATCTGTTTGTCTCACCAGGTGGTGACAATTGCAACTTACAGCTTCTATTGTGCTTTGGTGCTCGGGAGCCAGTCCATAGATGGTGATGACTCCGACAAAGATGACATCAATGCCTACGCTCCCATCACATCCGTATTCCTGGTAACATGGACTGTGACGCGTACTTATGATAATGGTCTAATGCAGGGGTCGGGGACCTTTTTAGTCATGTGAGCCATATTAAGATTGAGCTAAGTGCTCGTGAGCGAATGATTTTTAGAACAAAATAATTTTTCTTGAAGTTGGCATCAGACGTACGCCTTCTTTGATACATGAGAAAAATGAGGAACAACCATGATTTTCAGCCATGACTCAATGAGCCAAACTTTTCAGCTCGTGAGCCAAGGGTTCCCGATCCCTGGTCTAATTGGTCTAATGGAACTAGCATAAACTCCACTGCAGTAAGAATGAGAACATGGTTCTTTTTCCCTTCCCCATTCCCTCCCACCCTCCAGTTGGTCTTGTATGTCGGATGGCTGAAAGTGGCCGAGTCTCTCATCGATCCATACGGGGAAGATGATGCTGATTTCGAGCTCAACTGGCTTTTTGATCGTCACATCAAAGTGAGTTCCTTGGCATCTTGAAAGTGCACCTCATTTAATGGAAGAATATGGATGTCAATCGTTTTATTTATATCTTGACTGAAGGTCACACACGTGTTGGGAGAGGGGATGAATACGAGTTTCAAGGAATACACATGGAAGGACATGTTCCCTTGGCTCTATGATCAAACATTGGCACCGAAAGCGAAACTGCTCCTCTTCGCTAACATGATGGACAAGGACAAGGATAACAAGGTGAATCACTTTTCACGTGCTGGGGCATTAATAAGTCCCTTTCAACATTCAGAAAGAAGTATTGGCGTCTCTTCTCAACGATTTCTCATTGCATCGTCCAGAGGTAGATCCGTGCTGACAAAAAAAAGATGGACAGGGGTCCAAACTTGTAAAGAAGTGGGAGAATGGGTTGTTTCTCCAGTCTTTTACGCGCATGAACCTCGTCCATCTTCCATGGAGATGGAGAGGTGCATTTAAGGTAGTGTCATGTCGTCTGAATCAATACGGTTTCCAGAGAGACAAAAGCAACTGAGAGACAACGAGCCAGTGCATTTCAGATATTTTTTATTCAGCAGCTTTTTCCTAACTTTGCCTCAATTTCTTCAATCATGTTACTTCTATATGCCAGCATGACAGGTAAATATGCATAATCACTTGGCATTTGTGCATCGTCATATACGACCAGATTCATGGAAAGAGAAAGACTGAGCATATTTGTCACGCCTAAAGGTGAAATTAGTCTGCGTCCCCAAATTAGTGAGGAACTTTTGAACGTAGGTTTGGGACGACTCAAAAGGAAGAATATGCAGTCGGATGACATATAAACATTATGGATTTCAAAAAAATGTTAATGAATGTTTACTTTTACTTCTCCGCTCTCCCCGGAGCTAATTTCTCGATACTTGGACTTTGCATAGGTCGATATACTTCCAACATAATCCAACAATTTCATCCAAACTTCTTTTGCCATAGCAAGGTCGTGAGCAATTATTTTAACGAAATCGGAAATGGGAAATGGGCATTGAATTTCAATCCCTTTCAATTGCCTCATCCTCCTGATTTCATGCCCTGTCGCCTTTTCCGGTTGAGACCAAAGGAAAATCGGAATCAAGAAACTCTATTTTGAGACTTATTGATCCGTCTTTACGCAATTGGTGAAATGCTTATCAAAACTATCTGCAAGAAAGCGCCCAAATAAAAAGTAATTTCAATGGAAGAGAAGTTGGATATGGCCTGGATGATATTTCGGAAGCGCGCTCAAACGTGTCCTCCACTCCACTGTCAGTGCGTGTTCATCTTCATTTGCATTCTTAGCCATCATTTTAGTCATTGCTCATAGCTTCGCATAGGAGGAATGGATTTGGAAGACATTTTATTATTAAATTGTTTGGGATATCACATTTATGTAGGAAATATATTCGTCCATGAAAAGTGAATTTCGTGAAAATGTCCCCAGTGAGAGCGAATATACAAAGTCGGTTCAAAAAGTTTCGAGATTCGGGTCACCCTGACCGAACGTTCTGTTGCATGCCAAATAAAAATGTTGGTGAGCATAGCTCGGGTTCAGCCCTACACTCTTAGAAAAGACAGCGAATTCCGAGAAAAGGAGCGAATCTGGAGTTAGCGATTTTACTCCCTGAAAGCAAAGAAGTAATGTCGCTCACCTCTTTCATTCCTGAGAATAACCATTAACTTTTTCTACTGGTTTGAAAAGCACTCTCCCTCCTTCGTTTCGCGCTCCAAATGTTATAGATTCTGCTCTTATAAAGGAGGAGTTTTCGATTGTACTTCCTCGTTTTAAGTGAGTAAAATCGTTAACTCCAGTTTCGCTCCCTTTCTCGGAAATCGCTCACTCTTTTCTGAGAGTGTAATGTAAAATTTTGCTTCCCAAGAGCGCATGTGATAAGCCTCACATGACAGTTACTGGGTTGCGCCACGTGCAACCCCTCAACTGTCAGTCGGCGGTTTGCACTCACCTTGTGAAGATGTCGCGATTCGAACTGCGTGCTACACTCATGGAAAAGAGTGAGCGATATCCAAGAAAGGGAGCGAAACTGGAGTGAGAGGTTTTACTCCCTAAAAACGAGGAAGTGCAATTGATAACTACTCCTTTATAAAGAGCAAAATCCATGTCCTAAGAGCGCGAAACGAATGAGGGAGAGTACTTTTCAAACTAGTAGAAAAAGTTAATGGTTATTCTCAGGAAAGAGCGAGGTGAGCGACTGTATTTCCTTGTTTTTAGGGAGTGAAACCGCTAACTCCAGTTTCAAAGGTGGTTCAAAGGAGGTCCTCTTTACAGTTATGGCTATAGCTTCCCCCCCCCCCCCTCCCCTCGCTACACCATTGACCATGAGAGTAAAGCACTACGTTGTCTTTCAACTGGCGTAAGTCAAACTTTCATGCCGCATGATCTCTGGGTCTGAGGCCCTGTGCCTATGTTCAATGGGAATTGCTATTGATTTACAATAGTTGGAGCGAAGTCTCATCAGGAGTAGCTATGAGATATAGATGATAATTCTTACCCTGCCGAATCGATCGTTAGGCCACAAGACATCCAGGAAGGAATGAAAGAGGGAGTGAGAAGCGGGTGCGTGCCCGTTCTTTCTCTCCCCACAGAAAAGAGACTATTCATTTACGTCTAATCGAGACACGGGTTTCTTTCTTCCAGCGGCTGATTTCAAAACGAAAGGGCGCGAAAACAAAACGGTTTGAACAGAAATTGGCAGCACTAACTTAAGACACTAATGCATTTACGAACACATTCTTTTAACCTCCAAGAGAAGATGAGCTGAGAAATCATATTTGATACCCAAAAGATTTTTAACATGGAAGTTGGGGGGGGGGGGGGAATGATAATCTGTGTCCTCTGACTGTAAGGGCCTTTGAAGGATGAAGATAGGCATCTACACGGTAATAATAAAAATCAGTCGACGGATGTACGAAATTCTAGAACAAAAACCAAGCACCACAGCGCAATGAAACTTTGGGAGTCGTGTTGGTGCACCATGGGGAGAACAATGTCATCGCAAGAAAGAAAAGCCTGGTGGGAGCTGCAGGTGTGACGTCATGTATTGAGGGGTAAAAATGCTCATTACGGCCCTCACCAAGCGCCACAACTGCTCCCAATCAGCGTCCTTCAGTTCCCGTAATGGACGTACTCCCCTCAGCGCTCCAATACGACTCTCAAAACTTCATTGCGCTGCTGTAACTATGATAGTTTCTGCTCGAGAATGTCGTACATCCGCCTGCAGACTTTAAAATCCTATTGTAAAATCGAATCCGCATATTTGACTACTTCAAGGACAGAAACTTTATCCTATAATCAGTTGTCAAATAACCGAAACTATCGTTTTATATTTATTCGTACTAGAAGAAATTTTTTTATGTAGTTCACATTTTCTTCGCATAATTTAAAACGCTCTTTGTATATTTTCTCTCACTCGTGGTTTCTTCTATCCAATATACTAGTATAATTTTTTCCGATTTCTTTTTATTCGTTTTTTCTACTTTTCCTGAGGTAAATTCCGACCCTGCTCAGATGTCCGTCCGCTTCCTATTCCCCACAAATCAACATAACAAGATCTCCAATCTGCCTTTTAAAAAAGGGAATGGATTTTGCGTGCATTTTCCTCTCGAATGTTATATCACGTGGTTTTGGTGTTGCGAAAAAAATGAGTACAGGAGATCTTTCTAAGACCCACGAGATCGGAATTGGGAAGTGAAGGCCAAGGGATACCAAACGGAAACACTTTAATGACAAGACTATTCAAAGCGAGGAAAAAGGAATCGGACCGAAAAGTCCACAGAAAAGGTTTCGCTAGAGTTGGATGATGCGACGGACGTGACGTGAGATGAGAGTAAAGAGTCCGTGGTGGGATGCTGGACCAAAAGGGAAGAACCACCATCCCAGGCAGAGAGGGGGCAGAGCCCCAAACAAGGTCCAGCAAGAAAGTAGTGCCTCACGGCGTGAGGAATGGAAGTCACTACAGGCGGTTATCTTCTAGGAAGAGTCAGGAGCCATAGATGTGGCTTGAGAAAGGACGACTCTGACGCTCCAGCGTGCACAACCCCGAATGGTGGAACAATTGCCTATTTAAAGGGGTATACCTTGGCCGATTAAGAGATGATATGGTGGGGCGAAAGGGGTGAACCCTCCAGTACGTGATTCGAAGGGGTGAACGATATGGACCGTCGAAGGTTCATGTCATATATGTCCCTTAACCATGAAGTTCAAAACGTAGGCGAAGGACGGATTTAGGCACAATAAATTTAGGGTACCGTTATTTGCCTCATTTACGCTCCTGTCATTTTTTGTACTGTCCTCAATTTTTTTTTACATCCGCTTTTGGGAACTTTTCATAATTTTTCGATTAAAAAAATTATTCCTTTATTATTTTCTACATTGACTTTCACACAGCAATAGCCAAGTGACAGCTGCTCATGCTCTTGACTCCACGTAGCGAGGGTGGGGATGGTGGGGACTTTCCGAGAATTTGGAAAAGGAAAAAAAGAAATATTTGATTTTTCAACGATTCAAAAATATATACAAGGTATCCCATAGGTCCCACTATACCATTTCAGACTACAATATTTTCCAAACTGCAACAACCAGGTCACTTTTCTTAGCATTGATGGAAAAAAAAGTTAAGAGTTTTTTAATTCACAATATTGAATTGGAAACAGACTCACATGGATTTTGCTTCAAAAGCATGTCAGAAAGGAGTGCATCTTTAGGGCGATTTAGGGTAAATTTGTCGAATCCTCTTTTACAAAAATTCCTAAACATGACGTTTTTCTTTCCCAATTCCAGATAGACTCGGGAAACCGAAAAAATAATTTCGCTTAATTTGCTTTCACTGTCATGAGAAAAGGCTTCACGATTGACGCTTGAGCAACAAAGGAATGTTGCTACCTGGAGGGAGGTCTTTGAGAGTCCCGTGAGTCCAAAGAGAGTTTCGGCTATGTTTTGGTGGAGAGTGGAGGCATTTTGAGGCACTTTCAAACTTCAGAAATACCTTCATTTTGACAAAGATAATTCCGAATGACCAGCTATAGTTCAGTTAATTGTTATTTCTTTTTGTGCCAGCTGTTTAGTAATGTGAATTTTTGAAATGGTATAGTGATTTATGGGACACCCTGTGAATTTAATCTTTCAGGAAAGTTAATTCCTTTAAGTGGGTTATTCTAATAACCGTATTCCTTTATGCGATGTTTTCCATCATGCGACTTATGGTTTAAAAAATAGGGACAGTGTAATGGTATTCCATTGAGAAGTTTTCAAATATGTGGTGTAGATTTTTTTTTAGGAGGAACTCTGCCCTGGTCGCGCTCTCATCCTTCATAAATTAACTTTTTTCTTTTCATTCACGTGATCCTGGTGACGGGCTGAGGTTTCAGCATAATCTTACACTGTAAAAGCGGACAAATCTGCATTTTTTGCGAGGAAAAATACCAACAGAAGAATCAGTTGACAACTAGGAGTTTTAAAGCATGGGGTATGCCAAGGGGCTCCATTTCCGACTTGAAATGCAAAAAATGTGCTACTCATAACCAAGATGGTTATGAGTAGCTTCAAGAGGCTTATGGATTTCTGCTGCCTTCCAGGTATGTTGCTTATTCGGCTGAAAAGGGACGAATGTTCACCAACTTTAATAAGCTTTATATCGGATGTCAAGTGAGGTGCAATGCACCATTCCAAATAAAAAGCGAACTGTCGATATCCATCGGGCTAGATGGACCACTCCATCTTTCCCTCATCGCCCTGAAAACCCTCTCTAATATTGAATACAGTATCTAAAAAGAAGAGAGTTTCTCCACAACATGTATTGCCGTAATCGCGAGGCAGAATTCCGAGCATTGAAAGGGGAAAAAAAATTGGCTGTATCCATTCAAGAATTTCGGGAGAGCGCTAGTTCTTGCGAATGGGAGAGTGTTTTTATGGCAACTGTTCAGCAATTGGCATTTCTCTGTTTTCCTTCTTGTCGGTAGCAGATGTGTACGCCTCGGAGTGAGCTGAGAATGTCCATATAAGTAAAGGCGATATAAACATGGGAAAGGTATCGAATTATATATTTTTTCAAAGTAATTTCGAATTCTTTTTCGAAGTCAATGCAAATCCGAACATAATGTTGGAATCAAAGATTTCCCCGCTCATAGGCAACCAATTCTAGCGATCTTCGAAATCGGAAGCAGACGCTACAAACACAGGCACAACAAAACCATACCGGAATGAAACTATGATACTATTGATATTATATTTTTCTTGTAAAAGAAAAACCGCAATAAGAGATACCTCTGAACCCAAGGAAGATACTTCTGAACTCAACAGGTACCAGAGCTGGTGGATGTGCCTATTCCCAGGAGTGACCCAGACACATTGAGGATGACGACCCTTTTCCGAATACTGAGAATGAATGACGCCCCTGGAGATGGCCTCCAGAGCCGCCGTCGCTTCAAGTTCGAGGATCAGCTCTCGCTTATCGAAAAGGAGTGGGAAGAACTGTAACATCTGTATTTGCATCTCTCCATCTTTGATCTCGCGTCCGATTACGTCCCATGCGAGGTACGACTCCATATTCACGAAACTCCCCGATGGATCAAGAAATATAACATTCTTAAGAAGTTGGTGGTGTTACATCTGTCGAAGCACTCCGCTAATGGTTCAAGTAATCACTTGACGTGATATGAATTTAATAAACAAATAATTATATTTGAATAGCTTTTTCCCTACTTAGTCATGTCAAATCTGTAGAGGTGGAGTACACTAGGCAGCCGCAGTGAAAGGATCCATGCAGCAATGCCCGAAGCAGCAAAAAATATCTCGAGAGGGCCACAAGCCATTCATAAAACTTGCGATGGATAAAAATGCAAGAATTGAATTCCTCAGTCAACTGTTGCATTTCTACTCTTCTGCGATGCTTAGGATTGGGATTGAAACCTACATTTTTCATTCCGCACCTTGAAACTTCCCAAGTGCAAAACTTCCCGAATGCAAAAGGTATCCTTTGCTCCAACACCAAAAAAAGTTGGGAAGGGCCTTTACTATCCCTGCTGGTAAAGTGGTTCCCCACTTAACCAATTTTGCGGGGGAAAAAGTAGGCTTGATCGATACGAAAGAGATGACGCGAATTTGCCAACTTTGCTCCTGTTGTCAATGGGCACGTATAACTACGTGAAAACGCCCCCCCCCCTGGTTAAGAATCTAGGAGCATGCAAATACATAGAGAAATTACCAAGAACAGGGATGTGGTGTTTCGAGGATATCTCCATACATCCTTGCATTCTATAATTGCTTATCCCGATTCTGACAGGTTTTTTTTATGCTGTAAACGAATTTCCTCCTGACAAGATTTGTTGGCGATATACTATTTCAAATACTATTGCTTGCGAAGTCGGCAAAGGTTCGTGCCGATGTTTTCATTTTTCACGCTGACAAGCGCGGGAAGCCATTCGTCACCACCACCTCCTCATATTTATGAATCCCTTTTCAACTTGAACTCATCGTTCGGTGACCAAGTCACCTGCACCTGCGACTGTATCTATTCGTGACCGAATGAAAATTTAACTCTTCGGTGCGCCGGGAGTCTTGATGAAAGCCTGCCATGATTTCGATTTGACGCAAGGAAGATGAACTGCTTACCATCGGTATCGTCAAAGATTGCATGGAATAGCGACACATGATGCATCGAATCGTAATTTAGCTCAACAGACAGCCTTTCAGCCTAATAGTCAACTACAACCTAATGATCATAAAGTCATCGCCGTTTCGAGCCGTGGATTTTTGCGCTACGAGCAGTGACGAACTCGTTTAAGACACCCATCACCAACCGTGATGGATCGTGTTAGTATAAGATAATAATGAAGTAGCTAAGAACAGCATCGATCTGGGAAGTGAATCGAAGTTTCTAACCAGTGACGGCC